CCCCTCCCTGCTGCCGATTCTGTGCCAGCCAGGAATCTGGCCCTTTCCCACAGCTGGTCCTGGCCAGCCAGGTCATCCCCTCTCTAACCTGCCTGATGGTTGTTCCTCCTTCTGCTCTTGGCCGAAACACCCACTCCTCATGGAGGCCTCCCTGGAGCCCCCAGACTGCACCGCTGTATGCCAATGATAAAAGAGAACCTTGTCCCTTATGGCTTATCCCTCCTGCCGAGTGCACCCACCAACCCCATCTCAGTAAAGGACACTTCCATTCACCTAGTGCTCAGGCCAACCTCGAGGAAAACTCTCAGAGCTCCCTGTCTCTATATTCTGCTCATCTCAGGCATCACTGGGTCCTATTGGCAGCACCTCTACCCTATTGCGTATTCCAGGTCCACTCACTGTTCTCCATTTTCTCTGCTTCTGCCATAAAGCAGTCCCATATCTAGCCAGAATTATGTCACTAGCCTTCTGATGTTGTCATTTCCTTCCAGCATCACCCCGTTCCCACCTAATCCATTCTTCTCTTAACAGTGCAGAGATTTTGGAGGGGGAAATGTCGACTTGACTACCTGCTTCCTTGTTCAAAACTGAGGCTTCCTGTTACACCTGGAATTAAGCACGAGCTTCTTCGTGTGAGATCGGGCCCCCAGGTTTCTTTCCATGCCTAACTCTGCTTGTGGGACCCTCTGTTTGGCTTGGTGTCCCCGCAGCTATCAGCATAATTCACCCACATCCTCAATCTCCTCCTCGTCCTTTGCCCTGACCACAGGGCTCCCTGCCAACCTGTACCCCCACTGCTTGGATCCAGGCACTCATTGCTGTCCAGTTAGCTTGTTATCATGCTTGTCAGCTGTTCGCTGCTTGTTACGGGTCTGGGAGGTACGCCTTGTGAGGGTGGTGTCCTCATCTACGCACTTGCTCACAGCACCAACTAAACGTTCATTCAGTAGAAAGTGAACGAGGTGCTCCAGCTCATAAAGCTCAGTGCTCCTTGCCATCCCTGATCAGCAGTGTATGCTCTTTCCTGAGTACCTTAGGCCACGCTGTCCCCTCTCCTGTGAATGCCCTTCCCCTCGGGTTCTGCTTATACACATTTTTGTATCATTCAGGCTCAGCCCAAGTTCCTCTTCTTCTGTGATGCTTTCCTAGAGGAAGTTACCCTCTCCTCTGTGCTGCTGTTCGCCCTACTGATGTTTGTAAAAGTGAGTGAGGGGGAACAGGTACGGAGCAGTATAGAGCAGCATTTAGTAGGCATGAGGAAGCATGAAGCACAGAGCAGCACGGAGCAGCATGAAACAGCTCGAACACCATGGGGCAGTATAGAGCAAGCAAGTCTTATGGGCCCTCACCATAAAAGGCATTGTGTAGGGTGGTGAACATTTCTGAAGTACAGAATTGAGCTCTCAGCTCCTAAATCTGCCTTCGCAGCTCTGACCTCCTATTCCTGGTGTGTGTGGCATCTGCTCTGCAGCCTTGTGTCCAAAACTGAGAGGAAAGCCAAGTAGCTTGTGTAGCTCTGAAAGCCATGTCTGCAAAGAGCGCAGTTCTCTCTAGACTCTACGGAATTACCAGAGCTGCTTCCCAGCACACGCACATCAATCCTAGCATGGCTTGGCACTGGGATGTGGCACCAGGCAAGAGTGTGCCTTGCAGTCCAGGGCAAGGTGGGAGCAAGTTCAACATGAGGGTCAACTTGTTCTCATATCTACTAATGCACAGGCTCAATTACACTTTTGAGGATGAGCAGTAGAAATGTCTGTCTCCCATGTCTATGGAAATGTTAAAATGTATGTCAACAAGGAAAAAAGATCTTCTGTTTCTACCATCCTGGAGATATGTTCACCAACTGTTGTATTGAAGATTAAGGCTGTGTATTTTTTCAACATCGAGATTATTCTATCAATTTCCTGTGTCAGTTTGGGATTTTATTTTATTTTTTTTTAGTAGCAATGAAATAAGAGAATTATTTTTAAGCAAAGTGAAATCTTCTGATCCTGGAAATTCAAAGAGGGCCACCCTACAGGGGGTCTAAGTCCCTGAACACATAAACACAAATCAAAGGTGGAGACATCAAACAATAGGCTTTTCATATATATCCTTACATATTCCTTGTTGTTATTGTTGTTGTTTTCAGTATCTCATAATGAAACTCACAGCTTCACAACAATGTAACATCCAACAAATGAAAACCTTCCACCAGTACATGCCGATTAGTGTGTAAGACAAGAAGGGTACATTGGTAGATGAAACAGCAAAGCACCCAGGCCCAGGCCCGGGAGGAGCTTGCATCTGCAGGGCAGATGGTACTAAGATGATGGATGGAATAAGCAAGTGTGAAATATGCTAGAAGAGACCAGGGCCCCGGAAAAAACAGAGTGGAGGCAGGGAGCCAGGTACGAGGTCAGGGTGGACTCACTGAGACATTGACATCTGAGGGGGCAAGCGAGGGGGCAAGCTGTGCACATACTGGTGATGGTTCTGGAAAGTTCCGGAGCAGCAGAGAGACTGGCGTGGCCAAGATCATGTAAGCAAGGGACACGGTGTCAAGAGAAGAAGACAGAGATCTGAGCAGAAGGGATGGGTTCTGAGGGGTCTTGGGGACCACGTACAGGTGGGGCTTTGCTCCAATGGGAGTGAGGACACTGCAGAGCAGGCAGGTCTCATCTCTGTTCCTGCAGAGGACAGACACAGGTAGACTGCAAACCACCCAGCAGAGCCACATGGCAAGAGCAGTAAGAGGATTGGATGCTAGACACCTTTGTTTTGTGATCCAGCCCCGCTGGCTGTGAGATAAGAGAGAAAGTGAGGTGTTGAGAATAAAGCCAAGTGTTTGGTGCCAGCAGCTTGGAGGAAAGAGTTGCCTTCAGTGGACCTAGAAGGCTGGGGATGTAGGTCTTGGGGGAAAGGCAGAGAAATCTGATCAAGGATGGAGTGCTCCCTCTCCCTGCAACTGACTTCGTCTTGTCATTTAAGTTGTGAGAGCTATGCTTTCGCTTAGTCATAGCCTGTCTGTTTTTCCATCTCCCACTCATTTCTAGGACCTAAAAAAGGGCAAAATGCAGTAAAAGAGAAGCATATGTGCACTGCTGAGTTGGGGAATATGGAAATGATTGAGGTCTGACCTTCAGCAGGCAGATACAGCCCTATGGAGGCTGGAGAGGCATTGGAGTGACATATAGAGCACCCCCAGAATGGAGCGCTCAGAGGTTGTTGTGGCAGTGAGCAGGATCTCATCTGGAGGCCATCTGGGTTTGTCTAAGAAGCTCTCCAGCCACACGGGCATCGGGAGCAGAGGCAGCTAAGATCTTCCCATGTTCACTGGGTTGGAATTGTCCACGGGGACAAGACAGATGATGCTGGAGCCACTTCACCCACTCTTTGCAGCTTCCTTTTGCTGGCCTGGGCTAGCCACCAGGAGAGCTGACTGGCTGGAGCTACCTCACCACTCCAGCCCCCGCCTTTCACTCCATGAGAAATGAAAGAAGATGTCAAATGTCCTAGAGATGGGCAGCCTGAGGAAATCTTGGGTCCTGACAATCTGCAAGCTGACATCAGCATTCATGGGACCCTTCATGGAGGCCACCCGGTGGGCCCCTGGCCCTCTGTAGGGCAGTGGCACATCTGTTCTGTCCCTCCTTCCAGCCATAAGCTGACTCTGCATGGACACACTTCCCCAGCTTTTGTTGGCTTTGAGTCCCACTCAATTCAGAGACGTCTACACAGTCACAATATTGTGCAACCATCACCACTATTTAGTTCCCAGACAATTCATCACCCCAAAGAGAAACCCAGTCACTCCCCATCCTCCTCCTTTAGCCCTTGGCAACCACTAATGTGCCTTCTGTCTTTCTAGATTTGCCTTTTCTGAGAATTTCATATAAACAGAACCATACAGTACCATGCACCTGGCTTCTTTCACTGAACGTACTGTTTTCACAGTTCATCCATGCTGTAGCGTGTGTCAGTGCTTCAATCCTTTTTATGGGTGCATAGTAGTCCATTGTATGGCTATGTTACATTTTACTTATCCATCTATCCACTGATGGCTAGGCCTGAACTCTTAATCTATTTCCTACTGCTGTTCCCTCGTGACCTTCAAGAAGCAAAGCACACTTTCTGAGCACATTGACAAGGCTAGGCTAAGAGCAAAGCTGAGAAGCAGGGCATAACCTTCATGGTGGCTAGTCATAATCCCAGTGCCTGAAATACAAGCAAACTACTTTTTTTTCTTTTAACTTAGCTGAGCCCTAAGTAAAAAAATCTAGCCCTATAATCTCCAACTTAGCTTCTTACTAATGTAGGGAGGAGGCAATATTCAGAGATTGCAATACACTGATCAGCCCTACAGCCAGACCATGAAGAAACCTGCAGAACAAAGGAAGATTTCTGCTGGGATTGCTAACAAACCATTTCCCCACATGGTGAAGAAAAAACAGGAAAACAGTCTTTAAGTCATGCCCTACACAAAATAAAATCATTTGTTCCCTACAGCTAAAATCGTGGGGAACCTATGGATCAATGGCTGGGAATTGCCAGCAGGCCTTTCACGCTACATACTCTTACCCTTTCCTGCTATATACTATTATCTTTTCTCACTGTATGCCCATATCAGAGGAAAATAGGCAAATAAAATCTTTATTTATAGAAACTAAGAATGATACATAAACTGGATTCCTTGAACACTCAAGGTCCTTCTCAATGTCTTTCTCTTGGTCCCTCTCAGTGCCTTGTTCTCAGTCTTCTCAGTGTCTTTACTCTGTCTCTCTCTCTCTGTCTGTCCCTCTGAGTCTCTCTCAGGCTTTCTCACTCTCTGCTTCTGAGAGGAGACCATGCTCTGCCAAACTTTTCTTTTGACTCTAACTCTGGCATGTATTTGAATTTTCTCTTTCACTCAAAGAACCCTCTCTCTCAGTGCTGGCCCACTCGGAGGAAATTTGCCCTATCCTGCATTACCATTACTCAGAAATGCTTGAGGTTTGGGGTTCTTCCACAAGTTACAGACATTATTATCATTTCTACCCTATAAACTTCAGAAAGTTGGGTGACCCGCTGAGTATTTGAATAAAGCTGACAAGATTCTGGAAGGAAAGTCACGGAGTTCTTTTCTCACAAGAATGGGGGTTATTCCAATGAAGGACAACAAAGCTGCAGGGAGCCACCAGAAGCAACTGAAATAAAGCTCAAGATCTGCCCCCTGAGGGCAGGTGGCATGGTTGCCTATGTAAGAGGTACAGTCAGTGCATGGCCACAGCATTGCAGCTATGATTTAAGGCCCACCCTGGGTCTGAAGCTGGGCCTGGCCACTTATTAAACTTACTGCCTTATTTCTTCAGCACAAATAGGAACTACTAATAGGGTCAAAATGTGGTAGAAAAGTTGCAAAAAATCAGACCAGTTGGAAACCAAGCAGCACTCGGAGAGTTGGAGAACTCAGGTTTATTATGCCGGCGGTCCCAGAGGAGCTAGCTCTCTGAAGATCTGGGCCTGGAGCTGAGTTGCAACATTCCTTATATAGAACTTATTTGGCATGAGTTGATTGGTTAATTTGTTCTCAGGTGGTTACGAAGTGAGAGAGTTGCTATGGATTGCAGGTAGTTATAAAGAGTTACAAAGTGCGAGAGTTGCTAGAGGGTACAGGCAGTTACATTTGTTGCTTAGACAGAACAAGCAAAAGGGAAGATGAGTCTTTAGATAATTTTGAGTATGGCCTATGCAGCAAGCATATCTACAGAAGCAGAACAAAGAGCTGATTAGCCTTTTGAGTGAAAATTCCTCTTCACAACTATGGTTAATGCAAAAATTAAATGACATAAAATATTTATAAGTCCTGGCCCAGCTAAACACTATTGTGGGGAATAGGGAAAATTTCCCCTTCCCCCTTTGGTTCTTTGAATAATTCAATCAACATACAGCAGATTAACAGGAGAAAAATCAAAATTTAATGTGTGAATGGGGTGGAGTGGGATTTGCAGAAACATGAAAATTCCAAAGGCAATGAGGCAACATCAAGTATATATGACAGTTTGGACAGCTATTGGGAATATATAACAGTTTGGACAATGGAGAAAAGGGGGAACAGGGTCTCAGAAGTGACAATGGGCGATTTACAGCTACTTGAGAAAGAGCTGAATACACACGACGGGTAAATTTTTGCTGGGCAACTCAAAAACAATGGGACACAGAGAGTGATCTAGTAAACATGCTTGACTAATGCTGAGGTGAAAATGCTTAGGGTGGTCATGCCAAGGTTCCCTTCCTGAAGCAGGTTTTCTTTTCTAACTCTCTTTAAGAAAAAGGGGAAGTAAAAACTCTTGTTGGGCTTTAATTGATTTCAATTCAAAGTAATCTGTATGCTAAGGTGTCACATTCCAGGGAAACTCACTTCTGATCCCCGACAGTTCCCTTCTCTGAAACTCCCCTAAGAGTGTCACAGATCAAAATCTGAGCTAGTGGCTGTGGAGAGAAGTGAGTTAGTAGCCCTGTGGGGAGGGATCTGCAAAAAGAGAAAAGAGCATAGATTAGCATGAAGATAAACAAATAGAAAAGAAAAATTAGAGTATATTTCTCCATACCCCATTAAACCAGTCTCCCATTTCTGGGAATATGTCAGTCCAATAAAATGTCTTTGTTCTTTTTTTTTTATAATCTGATGGAGAATATTAATACCTTTTAAAAACAGATTTAAGTTAGATACTATTTGTCCCTTTGGTTTACATAGAAGCAACATTCTCCACTGATGATTGCACAAGCTCCTCCTTGTTGGGCAGTCAGTGAATCTAACACATGACGATGTTGGAGAACCGCAGATTTTAAGCTGTTAACTTCTGACTGGAGTATCTTCAGAGTTTGCATCATGATATTGAACTCTTGTTCCATTACCATGGAGAGATTTAAGATTGCTTTTTCCAATTTGTAATCTCTAAAATTTGAGAATAAGACCCTTAATCCTGAAAAGAACTTGGAGCTGTGATACACAAGAGGATTTTCTACAGTTTCTCTACTAGCGTGTTTATATGGCATGGCTTTATGAGCAAAGGAGCCCAGGCTTGAAACTTGGCTGGCATTTAGGATGGAGTGTTTAGTGACAGAAGGAGCCAGGTATCCAAGTCCACATTGTCCTGATCATTTAGGTGGGAACTCTTTATATATACCTCGTCACCTTTACCGGAGAGTGGGGGTTCTGTTCCCCTCTCGACACGTTGTCCAGGCTCTTGATGTCTCGAACAAAGCATTGAGCAAGACACCGAAGTACAGCAGAAAAGAATAGCTGTATTGGAAGGGAGAGTAAAACAACAGTACACTTCCAGACCTGGAAGAGGAGCTGAATAAGAGAAGAATGGCTCAAAGGCCTGGTAGCAAAGCCTTTGGGGTTTTTATTCCTACTTAACTGTCGGTAGTTACTTTTCACAAAGGAGTGGGCTTCCTTGATTGACAACTAAAATTGACAGGACTCAGTCAGTGACTCATCATTTACTTTCTGCGCATGTTTGTTCCCAGAATTCATTCTGTTATAATGATATTAATGAATTTCCGGGCATATGCATCATGCTATAATGATGCCATAATGAGGCTCAGGTGAGTTAGGGGTCATTATGGTCTCCATTGCACAGGTTCAAAGTGACCGGCTTAAACTAGTACCTAATAATCTGCCTGCTTGTTTCTTTGAGGAAGTTACTTTTTAGCCTAAAAATACTTTTTGGCTTACTTAATTGTGGGCAGACTGGGGTGAGCCTTTTCTAGAACAGGATGGCTTCAGCGTTTTGCAGAGGACCCGAAACCCCCTGTCTAACTTTCCTGCCTAACTTTTTTCTAAGAGCCATGAACCCCTTCTTACTAGCATGGATGTCAAGGGACGGGAGGTCTCTTGTATCTGCTT